TCGTGGTCCTCTGCCTCCTTCTCCACCCGCTGGCGCTCGTGGTCCTCTGCCTCCTTCTCCACACGCTTGCGCTCCAACTCTTCCCTCGCCCGACGCTTCTCCGCCTCCTCCCTCGCCAGGCGCTTCTTCTCCTCCTCCGCCTCGCGCTCCGCCTCCTTGCGCTCCGTCTCGATGCGCTCCGCCTCCACATTGCGATCCTCCGCTGCCTTGCGCTCGATCTCGATGCGCTCCGCCTCCTCCCTCGCCAGGCGCTTCTCCTCCTCCTCCGCCTCGCGCTCCGCCTCCTTGCGCTCCGTCTCGATGCGCTCCGCCTCCACCTTGCGAGCCTCCGCTGCCTTGCGCTCGACCTCGATGCGCTCCGCCTCCTCCCTGGCCAGGCGCTTCGCCTCCTTTGCTTGGCGATCCACCTCCTCCCTTGCCAGGCGCTCCGTCTCCAGCCGCTGGCGCTCCTCCGCCGCCCTGCGCTCCGCTTCCAGCCGCTCACTCTCCTCCCCCTTCGCTTGGCGCTCCGCCTTCTCCCTCGCCTGATGCTCCGTCTCCACCTCGTGTATTTCATCACCCTCTTCAGGTCCTGCAGCAGGAGTAGAAGTAGACGTAGAACTTGCATCGACTACTCCAGATGGAACTCCAGATGGTCCGGCAACAGGAGTCGTTGCTGCGTCTCTTTCTCCAACAGCGCCACTTTCTTGAGGAGCGCCCTGCGTTGAAACTGCGCCATCTTTTGCCGTTCCATCCCCATGACCAGTTACTGCATCATTGTTAACGGCAGCAGCAGGAGCATCGCTATCGTCAGTAACCGAAGAAGGCGCAACAGCAGCAGGAACATCTTCTTTCGCAGGAAGACGCGAAACAGCAGCAGGAACATCTTCTTTCGTAGGTGGAAGAGGTGGATTCACAGGAGCGCCATCTTCAGTCCTTCTAGAAACAGGCGTATCAGCAGCAGGAACATCTTCAGTCGTACGAAAAGACGGATTCACAGATGAAGCGCCGCTTTCATTTTTGTTAGGCGCATCAGCAGAGGTCGGAGTAGACGGCCCTTTACTAGCAGCCTCAGAACCATCATTTTTGATGTCGGCCCCATCCGCAGAAGATGGTTGTTGAGCATCGTTGGGACCACCACCTTTCTTGTCGGCTCCATCCGATGGCCCATCCTCCGACTTGGGAGCAGCGGCACTCGTGACTTTTGGCTCCTGAGACTGAGGGGCTTCGGGTTCTCCTGCCATATCATCTTGTTTGTCATCCTGCGCACCCTCGGCAGCACCAGTTGTATCAGTCGCAGCAGGCTTGATGTCCCCAGCAGATGGCGCAGCTTTAGAAGAAGTAGCTCCAGTAGAAGTTTGAATATTTAGATGATTTTTCTTGAACAAGTACTTCCTACAAGGAAGAGTCTCAATGATGAGCGATGGCTTAGGCTTACTCCTATTATACGTAGGTTAGGTTAGGTTATGGATCCTTCACTGAGACTTGTTCACACAAAATGAAGATAATAACAAAAAAACAGGAAAATTAGCCTTAGCAGGATCCGTTGTGACGCCATCGTCCGAGCCACCAGCAGGTGATGAACCTTCCTTAGCATGTGCATCAATCTTCCCATCTCCACGCTTCAGATCGTGAGGCTTCACACGGCCAGGAAGAGCTCCTTCAGGGAGTCCTCCATTAGGTTTAGGATCGGCGAAAATTAGTGCTGTGCAGAATTCATTTTTCCTTTAAGTGCTTGCACTGCTGAACAGAATCAATATGTAAGTATGTGCAGTTATAAATATGAAATCATTCATCAGATGGATAAATAAAATACTTCTGCTCAGAAAACTTCTCCTCGCCTTCTAAATGTACAAATCCTAGTCCTCGTCGTAGACGGGATTCTTGTTGTTGTAGGTTGAGATTTCAATTATTTGATGAATAAAATCTAAATTTCTAGGAGCCATAAGACAGAACGCAATCCTGGAGAGCTTGGCTCGCGCACAGGAGTAGTTCTATCTTCTACATCGTCCACTCCCTCCACCTCCTCTACACGCTGTTCGGCGACGTGTGGCCCTCTGGGTGTTTGTACGATAATTCTCTCCTCCTCCTCCTCCTCCTGTTTTCTCTGACTTTGCCGCTGCTCTTCTTTCCTTAGACATTGGCTTGGTAGTCATTTTCCCTGACAGAAGCATTTTGGTAGTCATTTTCCCTGACGAAGAATAAAGCCCTTCCAAGATGCCTCTTAAGACGAACAATATGCGTAAAAAGCCTTAATCTCCGTTCATTACTGCGCTCTCCCCTCAGTGAACCTCGGAGACGAGCACGAGGTTTTGCGGTACTAGTAGAAGCATTAGAGGGTTATGTTTGAAGGTGTACAAAATACTCTTCAGTTGAAAAGAAATGTTGACCACTCCTGACTTCCACCATTTGAAATGAGCAGGATCAGGAAGAGTGTCATGAACTAAGTACGTACCACATCACAGGTCCTCGTTCTATTCAATCTAAATAATAACAGCAAGCATGATGTTTGTAATATCAAGAAGTAGCACAGTGTTGATCTTCTTCCTTAACAGTGGCTCCTACTCCACTCTCGTCGTCCAGGAGGTTCATCTTTATATAACTGCCGCAGCAAGAATCTTGATCTTCTTCCCGTCCACTTCCAGTTGCAGTGCGTGCGGGTCTGTTCTTCAAACTCCCTCGAAGCCTTGGATTTGACCCCGTAAGTTTAGAGCTGCTGCTCACCCTAGGAAAGAGTAGCTCTCGTTCTTCACCCTAATGATGATGAGAGGACTACGAATGGCTCTGGTATTTGGTAACCTGAGTTTGATCCTAAGGGAAAACAAGAAGAGAACCCTTAGGATCCAATTCAGGTTACCAAATACCAGAACCATACAGACTAGATTGTAGGTGGTCATACTAGAGTACGCAACTAACCTCTTTTAAACTATGAATATGAAGTCAAAACCCTAAAAGCACTAAATATAAAAACATTTCTTGATTAAGACGAGAAGCACATTCTGAGAACAAGCACTCGTAATAAGTGTAGCCTCATCAACACCATCTTCATCAACAACATCTCCTGTCCTAGAACCCTTTTTAGAGACAGCACCTCCATCTACGTCGTCCTCGCCTTTCCTAGAGCTAGTAGAAAAACAGTCAAGTAGTATCATTCAGGTAGGTTCAGTAGGATTAGGTAGGTTCAGTAGGATTAGGTAGGTATCAGTAGGATAGGATCAGGATCAGGATGCAGGAGGGTTCTGAGGAATGAGGATGCACTCCCACTCTTGGTTGAGGTTGCCTTAACTTTCTGCAATTTGCTGTCACCTTTAACGTCTTCAAATTTGCTGTCACCTTTAACGTCTTCAAGAAAAGAACTTTTCTGTTGCCTGTCTTCTTCTTCCCTCTCAAAAAGTCTTGCTGTCCCACGGAAATTCCCGCGTCTCGTACGAGACGAAGCGCTAGAAGATGATGTTGATGTAGTTCTTGTTGAGGACGTAGAAGTAGTTGATGATGTACTAGCCGTAGAAGTAGTAGTTGTAGTTCTTGTACTAGATGACGTCGAACTCGAAGATGATACTTGATGTTCTTCTATCTTCGTAGTACTATCTTCCAGTTCCACTACATGATCACTTTTTCTGTTCATCTTGATGTCGATGTCCTCGTCTGTTGTGCTAGTAGAAGATGAAGACGTATTGTTGCTGGTATGATTCATCTTCCGCCGTGGACACTGCTCGACGTCTGGAGGAGGTGACGATGAAGTGCCAGGAGGTCCTCCTTCTACAACTTCCTGTGCTACATTAGTAGACGATGAAGTGCCAGGAGGTCCTCCTTCTACAACTTCCTGTGCTACATTAGT